TTGTTTATTTGAGATTTTTCTTTTTTCTTGAGGTAGGCTTGTATAGCTATAAATTTACCTCTTAGAACTGCTTTTGCTGCATCCCATAGGTTTTGGATCGTCGTGTTTTCATTGTCATTTGTCTCTAGGTATCTTCTGATTTCCTCTCTGCTTTCTTCAGTGATCTCTTGGTTATTTAGTACCGTATTGTTTAGCCTCCATGTATTTGTGTTTTTTATGTTTTTTTCCATGTAATTCATTTCTATCTCTTAGCATTGTGGTCAGAGAAGATGCCTGATATGACTTCAATTTTATGTTTACTGTGGCTTGATTTGTGACCCAAGATGTGATCTATCCTGGAGAATGTTCTGTGCACACTTGAGAAGAAAGTGTAATCTGCTGTTTTCATATGGAATGTCCTATAAATATCAATTAAATCTCTCTGGTCTATTGTGTTATTTAAAGCTTGTGTTTCCTTATTCATTTTCTGTCTGGATGATCTGTCCATTGGTGTAAGTGAGGTGTTAAAGTCCCCCACTATTATTGTGTTACTGTTGATTTCCTCTTTTATAGCTGTTAGCACTTGCCTTATGTATTGAGGTGCTCCTATGTTGGGTGCATATATATTTATAATTGTTATATCTTCTTCTTGGATTGATCCCTTGATCATTATGTAGTGTCCTTCATTGTCTCTTGTAACATTCTTTATTTTATAGTCTATTTTATCTGATATGAGTATTGCTACTCCAGCTTTCTTTTGATTTCCATTTGCACGGAATATCTTTTTCCATCCCCTCACTTTCAGTCCCTAGGTCTGTGTCCCTAGATCTGAATTGGGTCTCTTGTAGACAGCATATAGATGGGTCTTGTTTTTGTATCCATTCAGCAAGCCTGTGTCTCCTGGTTGGAGCACTTCACGTTTAAGGTAATTATCGATATGGAGGTTCCTATGACCATTTTCTTAATTGTTTTGGGTTTGTTTTTGTAGGTCCTTTTCTTCTCTTGTGTTTCCCCCTTAGGGAAGTTCCTTTAGCATTTGTTGTAGAGCTGGTTTGGTGGTGCTGAATTCTCTTAGCTTTTGCTTGTCTGTAAAGCTTTTGATTTCTCCATCGAATCTGGATGAGATCCTTGCTGGGTAGAGTAATCTTGGTTGTAGGTTCTTCCCTTTCATCACTTTAAGTATATCATGCCACTCCCTTCTGGCTTGTAGAATTTCTGCTGAGAAATCAGCTGTTAACCTTACGGGAGTTCCCTTGTATATTATTTGTCGTTTTTCCCTTGCTGCTTTTAATAATTTTTCTTTGTCTTTAATTTTTGCCAGTTTGATTACTATGTGTCTCGGCGTGTTTCTCCTTGGGTTTATCCTGTATGGGACTCTCTGCGCTTTCTGGACTCAGGTGGCTCCTTCCTTGCCCATGTTAGGGAAGTTTTCGACTACAATCCCTTCACATATTTTCTCACGTTCTTTCTCTCTCTCTTCCCCTTCTGGGACCCCTATAATGCGAATGTTGTTGCATTTAAGGTTGTCCCAGAGGTCTCTTATTCTGTCCTCATTTTTTTCATCCTTTTTTCTTTTTTCTGTTCCGCAGCAGTGAATTCCACCATTCTGTCTTCCAGGTCATTTATCTGTTCTTCTGCCTCAGTTATTCTGCTACTGATTCCTTCTAGTGTATTTTTCATTTCAGTTATTGTATTGTTTATCTCTGTTTGTTTGTTCTTTATTTCTTCTAGGTGTTTGTTCTTTCATTCTTCTAGGTCTTTGTTAAACATTTATTGCATCTTCTCAATTTTGCCTCCATTCTATTTCTGAGGTCCTGGATCATCTTCACTATCATTATTCTGAATTCTTTTTCTGGAAGGTTGCCTATCTCCACTTCACTTAGTTGTTTTTCTGGGGTTGTATCTTGTTCCTTCATCTGGTACATAGCCCTCTGCCTTTTCATCTTGTCTATCTTTCTGTGAATGTGGTTTTTGTTTCACAGGCTACAGGATTCTAGTTCTTCTTGCTTCTGCTGTCTGCCCTCTGGTGGATGAGGCTATCTAAGAGGCTTGTGCAAGTTTCCTGATTGCAGGGACTGATGGTGGGTAGAGCCGACTGTTGCTGTGGTGAGCGGAGCTCAGTAAGACTTTAATCTGCTTGACTGCTGATGGATGGGGCTGGGTTCCCTCCCTGGTGGTTGTTTGGCCTGAGGCGACCCAACACTGGAGCCTACCTGGGCTCTTTGGTGGGGCTAATGGCCAACTCTGGGAGGGCTCATGCCAAGAAGTACTTCCCAGAACTTCTGCTGCCAGTGTCCTTGTCCCCACAGTGAGCCACAGCCACCACCCGCCTCTGTTGGAGACCCTCCAACACTAGCAGGTAAGTCTGGTTCAGTCTCCCCTGCAGTCACTGCTCCTTCCCCTGTGTCCCGATGCACACACTACTTTGTGTGTGCCCTCCAAGAGTGGAGTCTCTGTTTCCCCCAGTCCTGTCAAAGTCCTGAAATCAAATCCCACTAGCCTTCAAAGTCTGATTCTCTAGGAATTCCTCCTCCTGTTGCTGGACCCCCAGTTTGGGATCCTGACATGGGGCTCAGCACCTTCACTCCAGTGGGTGGACTTCTGTGGTATAAGTGTTCTCCAGTCTGTGAGTCACCCACTCAGCAGTTATGGGATTTGATTTTACTGTGATTGCGCCCCTCCTACCGTCTCACTGTGCCTTCTCCTTTGTCTTTGGATGTGGGATATCTTTTTTTGTGAGTTCCAGTGTCTTTCTGTTGATGACTATCCAGCAGCTAGTTGTGATTTTAGTGTTCTCGCAAGAGGGAGTGAGAGCACATCCTTCTACTCCACCATCTTGGTTCCTAAAATATTATGTACTCTTTTTATGTTTGGGTTCTCTTACTCTGCATAATGTTTGAGATTCATTCTGGTTGTGGCATGTAACAGCAGATCATTGCTTTTTATTGCTACGTAACATTCTATCCGTTGATGAACATTGGAGTTTGCAGTCTGGGGCTATAGAATGGCTATGCACACTTGTGTGTAAGTCTTTGCATGGCCATACACTTTCATTCTCTTGGGTAAATACATAGGAGTGGAATTGCTGTGTCATATTCTAAGCGTGTACTAATCCTTTAACATATAAGCCTTCTGTGGATTTTCATGAGTACATATGAACCTTAGAGATGACCAGTACTGACTGACACATCTATCTTTTCCTGGCCAGAGAGTCCCTCACTGGCAACCCATCGTCTGGTCAAAGTGATGTGCAGTGAATGGCTGTTGCTTGTTACTTTACAGGTCAATCTCGCCCTTCTCAAAGGTGTATGTGAATCACAGAACTTCTCCAGGTTGCATGTACGTTCTCATCTCCTCCCCTCCCCCAGCCCTCCATGGCCCCCAGTTCCCGAGTCCACCTCCTTACCCTCTCTGTTTGTCACTGTTGCTGTCTGTCACGGCTAATGATGACAGTGTGCTACACCAAACTGTGTTGGGCCTGATTATAAGGTGGAGAACCACTGTCACAGGCTAAAAACACATGTGAGGAAATGGACTGGGAGCAACAGGCAATAGCACTTGTAGGGAGAGATAGGGACAGACACGGAAGGATCAGAAAATACAGAGAGCCTGTGCCTCAGCTCCTCTCTCCCAGATGGAGAGAAAATACCTGTCATAATGTTCAGAATTAACTGCTAGTTAGTCATGCTACATAAAAAAGTATTTCTTATGTAGCAGACACACAATACCTTTTGCGAAATTCTGAAGTTTAAAAAATATTTTAATATGAAGTCATTATCTTTTTATTTTCAATACATTGAATTTTGTCTTGAAACTCTAAAGCTAGCCTGAAGATGGACAATTCCATTTGATCCCTATTGTACATTTTCCCCATCATCCTCAAAATAGTATTCTTTTCACAAAGATTTTCAAATACTATAGCCCTTATTAGTAATGCTCCTAAATAACGTGGGGTGTTAACTTCATTGCAACACGTTTTACCTTATTTTATTTTATTTTTTGGCTATGTCGGGTCTTAGTTGTGGCATGCAGAGTCTTCACTGAGACATGCAGGATCTTTCGTTGTGGTGTGTGGGCTTCTCTCTAGTTGTGGTGTGTGGGTTTTCTCTCTCTAGTTGTGGTGTGCGGACTCCACAACACGTGGGCTGTCTAGTTTGTGGCGCACAAGCTCAGTAGTTGTGGCACATGGGCTCAGCTGTCCCACAGCATGTGGGATCTTAGTTCCCTGACCAGGGATTGAACCCGTGGCCCCTGCATTGGGTGGCAGATTCTTTATCACTGGACCACCAGGGAACTTCCCCTTCTAACACTTTAGATCACAGTAAAATCATCTGAAGAGTAATTCACCCTTTATTTGGTGGGAAGAGTCATCCAGATTTGAGCACAGCAGATGTGTTTCAATGAATACTGTCATGTGCTCTCTATCATCAGATCTCATCATTGCTGTCAAGTGGAATGATTAGAGCAGCAAGTGCCAGTATTTAATTTCAAAATATATTCTTAAAGTGATCCGGGGCTTTAGATATACATTTTGGAGCCCCCATTTTCATTTTATTACCTTACTAGGATTATCTAATTAAGGCTGAATCTGTCCTAACCATCTATTACTCTATACAACATGGTGAATGGAGCTCATAGTTCAGTAACAGCAGCACTTACAAGACTCCAGAGATGCCGTTACACTGCACCAGAAGTCAGCTACGTCCACCCGCAGAACAGGAATGAATTACAATCACATGAAGTCAAAGCAACCATTACAGTGGCCATAGGTATTTATTTCCAGTTTATCACTGCTTGCATTTTTTCCTCAAGTTCATGCCCAGGTCACTCCCTAATATTAACGTTCAAATTTACTGTTAGAAACACAGGTTTAGGCTAAGATTTAATATCATGTCATGAATCATGTTTTTCTTTGCTTCGAATCAGTCTTTCTCAAAAGGATCCTAAGGAACATAATTTGGAAGTCAAGTGAAGAAGTACCATTAAACACCAGTAATGCCTTAGAAATTCCCTATTCTTACCTGATGAAGTTTAATGGACATACGAATTCCAGGGACTACTACTTTTCTCAGCAATTCCATGTCAGCAAAGATCCATTCGTCTCGAATTGAAGAAATTCGGAAATCTCCCTTAAATAGGGCATGCAATCCATAGAGGAATGACTCTAAATTACTGTTAAGATTAGAGATAAAAGTTTACATATTTTAACAAAGGTCTTCCATTACACTGATTCTAACATTTGGTTATGCATCAGAAGAATGTGGGAGTGTTTTGAAGATACAAATGCCAAGAACTAATGTAAGCACCCCTGAATCAGAATCACAAGGGACAGGGCCTGTTTGACCTGGGACCCTTGTTTATGAACTACTATAATAGTGAGTCCCTGAAAATAAGCAACAGGCAAAGACACTGTAACTTAAAAGAAAGTAAGGAGGGCCTAATGGAAAACATGTAGGAATCACAGAAGAAACTTAAAATATGTGGCATTTCTTAATTCTAATTCAATTGGATGTATATGTCAAGAAATCCAGTTTATATTTAGCCCCCAAATCTAATGTACCACCATATTAACAGTATAAATGCTGTGAACAAATATTGCAAGGAGAAATGGAAAAATAAAAAGAAATGAATTGTTAGAAAAATAGATGTATATGGGAAGAGACCAATCATACGTTATGAGTTGATTATTTCTTAAAATGTCTTAAATCTATTAAATTCTCATTATCTATAGTTGCCCACACGTGTGAATTTTAAAAGCCAGTTCTGTTAACCACTTAGAACTCCACTGTGTTCGGCAAAAAGATCTATACAATACAATATCCGAAGAGGTATTTGCAATAAATTAGCACAGAACGCTTCCATTAAAAACTATTTCAGATTTTTCAGATTTCAGTTATAGAGCTTCCCAGTCTCTTTCTGAAAACAGAAATGCCTTCCTTACCTGGACATATGGTGGGATGCAGTCCCCAAAGCTCTCCGTCCCAGAACACAGAGTCCATAACAAAGAGTCACCAGGGATGAATCTTTGTCCACATCCAGTGGCTTTAAAAAACAAAGAATGGGGTGACAGGGTCAAAAGGCACAAATTTCCAGTTATAAAATGAATAAGTCGTGGTGATGTAATGTACAGCACAATGACTACAGTTTAGTAATACTGTATTGCATATTTGAAAATTACTGAGAGAGTAGATCTTAAAAGTTCTCGTCACAAGGAAAAAATAATTCTGTAACTATGTATGGTGAAAGATGTTAACTAGATTTATTGTGGTTATCACTTTGCAGTATACACAAATATGGAATAATTATGTTGCACACCTGAAACTAATTAATGTTATGTCAATTACACCTCACTAAAAAAAGGAAAAACAAAAGAATGTTAGTTATCAGAAAGGAATATGAGTATTTAACAAGTCAGAAGATATCTATCTAATAAATCAGAGAAGTTCAGGAGCTCAACTAGTACATACTTTCTATCTCTCCAGATAAAAGTTCTAATGAAAAGAGACTTAACAAAACAGCATAAAATGAAGTGTGAATGTATATGAGGAGGTTCTTTGGAATCTTTAAATAAAATCTAATACTTTATAATAATACTAGAACATACTAAAAAAAAAAAAAGTGGCTGTATTACAGAGTATTAGGATCTTAACTATACATCTCAAAGTACTTGTTGATATACATCATTACTGATACTGTCCTCTCCTGAAAAATACAATATTCTATCTATATAGCCTATTAGTGACTATAACCATAGTAAAGAAAATCAAATTGATATCTGTAGAATACTGCTTCCCCTCAACCTTTTAATTTTTCAACAACTGCATACCTTGATTATTGACTATTACATATATATTATATATTAAAATATATAATACAATAATTATATATGTATGCACAAGCAAAATGGTATACTTTATATAATACTACAGAAAATCTTGGTAGCATCTCAATGACTGGGAACAATCTAAAGCAGTGGTTCTCAAAGTGTAATCTCGGGACACAACATGAGAATCATCTGGGAACTTATTAGAAATGCAAATTCTTGAGCCACTTCAGACCTATGATGTCATATTCTGAAGGTGGTGTCCACCCATCACACTCCAGGTGATTCTAACACATGCTAAAGTTGAAGAATCATGGATCTAGGCTGATAATGAGCTTAATTATTTTAACTTTGCCAATGGTATATATATTTGGCTTTATAAACCATTAACTTATAAACAAAAAAGGGCAGTTGTCTAAGATACTAACTTAATATAGCTTGGTTAGTTAATTACCATTAATTGCATAATTCAGTTAACAATAGTAACTGTGTAGGAGATCCTACATTTCTTTCTTTTCTGTCTCCCTCCCTTCCCCACCCAGTCAACTTTATATACTGAAAATGTATTGCTTTTGTGATGGGGAAAAAAAATTTTTTTTTTGCCTGCACCACATGGCATGTGGGAATCTTAGTTCCCTGACCACAGATTGAACCCATGCCCCCCTGCAGTGGAAGTGCAGAGTCTTAACCACTGGACCGCCAGGGTAGTCCAAAAAAGTTTTTATTTTAAATTTAGTTCAGGCCTCTGCTACTGGCCAAGACAGAGTAATAAAGGCCGGATTTACCCCTTGCAAATGAAATGACCAAGAAAAGAATATATTGAGACATTGGATACTAATCTCTGAGAAATGGGAAACCCTACAAGAGTTTCCAGGCTGTAGTACAAGGAAGAGGAACACAGGTAGAGCCTAGACGTCTCCAAGTTGAGGAGATAGCTGGGAGTCTGGGGAGGTCAAGGTGGCTAGAGTTTGCAGGGCAAAGTGCCAAGGAGAGACCTACATATAGAGAGCAAGCTCTGGAGATCGGCAGAGGATCCCTCTTGAGTCCAGCAGATTACTGATCAGCACATACTGCAAAGGTCCAAGGCTGAGAACAGAACCATCAGAAAAAAAGCAGAAAGGAACAATGGAAAATTCTATGATTGGCTAGAGTGCTCAAAAGAATACTGTCTCAGTAATGGGGAAAAATTAGCCCCAGACTAAAGGCTGCTTTGGTCCCTCCTAAGAAAGCTTAAAAGTAAACCCTGAAAAGATCAAACTGTCCCCAAGGAATTTAATTGTGTCACAGAATAATAAGGTCAATAATATTTATGGGAATACAAAAATATCTAGCACTCATCAAGGTAAAATTCATAAAGTCTAGCATCCAATCAAAAACTGTCAGGCATGCAAACTAGCAGGTAAATAGGACCCGCAATTAGAAAAATAATCAACTAATCAATCAAAACTGACCCAGAAATGACGCAGATGTTAGAATTAGTCAACAAGGACATTAGAAGAGTTATTATAACTGCATTCCATAAGTTCAAAAAGATAGAGGAATGACAGCATGCTAGTAGACATGGAAGGTTTATATCACTATAAAAGACACAAGGAATTCCCTGGTGGTCCAGTGGTTATGACTCCACGCTTCCACCACTGGGGGCCTGGGTTCGATCCCTGATTGGGGAACTAAGATCCCGAAAGCCCCACAGAGCAGCCAAAAAAAAAAAAAAAATTAAAGACAAAAATTAAACCTCAAAAAGACAAAAAAAATGCAATGTCTGAGAATAAAAAAAATACACTGCATGAGATTAATGGTGTATTAAACAACGCAGAAGAAAAAATAAATGGTCTAACAAATATAACAGACACTATGCAAAATTAAACACAGAGACAAATAAAAGACTAAAAAAAAAAAATACAGAGCATTAGTGAGCTGTAGGACAACTTAAGGCAGCCTAATATAAATGTTAACTGGAGTTCCCCAGAAAAGGGAAACAGGAAGACAGTAAAAAAATTTTGAAAAAAATAATCACCAAAGTATTTCCAAATCTGATGAAAATAATATATACCTAGGGATTCAAGTAGCTCAATGAACTCCAAGAACAAGAAACATTAAGAAGACAGCACCAAGGTACATCATAATTAAAGTGCTTGGGACTTCCCTGGTGATCTAATGGCTAAGACTCCACGCTCCCAATGCAGGGGGCCCAGGTTCCATCCCTAGTCAAGGGATCTAGTCCCGCACGCTGCAACTAAGAGTTCGCATGCTGCAATGAAGATCCCACGTGCAGCAACTAAGACCCAGGACAGCCAAATAAATAAATAAATAGCTTAAAACTAGTGATGAAGAGAAAATCTTAAAAGTAGCCAGCAAAAAAAGACATCATTATGTGGTACATAGGCATACATTGTTTTATTACGTTTTGCATATACTGTGGTGTTTTTACAACTTGAAGGGTTGTGGCAATGTTGTTCTGAGCAAGTCTATTGGCACCATTTTTTCCAATGGTATTTGCTCACTTTTATGCCTCTGGGTCACATTTTGGTAATTCTCAAAATATTTCAAACCGTCCACCAGCAAAAAGATTATGATTTACTGAAGGCTGAGATGATGGCTAGAATTTTTTAGCAATAATGTATTTTGAAATTAAGTAATGTACATGGTTACAGTTTTAGACGTAATGCTATGGCACACTTAGTGTACTTCATAACATTTACAATTGGGGAAAAAAACAATTCGTGTTGACTCGCTTTTACTGTGATACTCGCTTTACTGCGGTGGTCTGGAACAGAAACTGCACTATCTCTGAGGTGCGCCTTTATTATTTGTCAGAAACAATGCAAGCCAGAAGGCAGCGTAGCCACATCGTTAATGTACTGAGAGAAAAAATAATTGGTTCAACCCTGGTAGCTCTATTTTGTTATTGTTGGAGAAGACACGTGTCTTACATCCTCAAATGCATTAGAAATTCTCACAAAGACTTCTTGCTAATACTAAAAACAATGGTGAAAGAAATGTACTGTCATTTAACAAGCAGGAAGCAAAGTCAAGCTGAGACGAATCTTTCCAATTTAGCATTCCAGGTAGTTTTAATGCAGTTAATCCAGGGCTACACTTACAAAAACATTATTTCAAGCTCTTCAGAAGACAGGTACAGCTATTATATGAAAGATTATTTCCTCCTAGAATACATATAATAAGAGAAGGAGGAAAGAATGATTTTTTTATTTCTGTGTAATATGCAAGTTAGAAAACTATCTTGGAAGGAAATTAGGGGGAAAAAAGTCTGGAGGCAACTTTATTAACATTCAGGTGAGGGTACCAGAATTTGGAGTCAGCAAATCTTTCTGGTTTAATTAACTTCCTTCCCTGGGAAGAGGTTATTCTGGGAATGGTGATTCAGAAAACAGAATTCATGGTTTTAGGGAGGTAGGGATAATCTTGTTCAATTTAAAAAACTGGAGAATGAAGGGATTATTTTAATTTTCCTGACAATTTTCTTCTAGAGGGGACTGCAAGAGTAGAATATAAGCCAGACTGATGTAGTGATAAGCTCTCTGAAAAGACTGGGGATACCCAAGTTTGGAGGTAAACCTTTTGAATATGATTTATTAGCAATTAAGAGGATGACTTCCTTGAGGTACATCCATGACCTCAGCAATAATTTTTAAGAGATTATTTATTCCTTAAAGTTAGGAAGGATGGAGCCTGTTCCTGAGTCGGTAGACTGAGTTCCTAGCCTAGGTGACGATGGTTAAACCGAACAAAAGTAACCAATATAGTCTAAGCCAGAGAAAGGCTATTAGAATAATATGGTCACTCCAACCGCCCCCCCACATTCCCCTCCCCCGCCAAGAAATAAGTCCAAGGATTTGAGAACAGTGTGCAAAGCATTCTAAGTATATTTCATTTATGAAAAAAAAATAAACTGCTTGTTATGTGTTTGAAAGAAGAGAAGATTAGCTTTGAGGGCCTCCATTTCCAGACATTGTCTGCTGGTCCTTTTTCTGAGCTCTTACGAGGTTATTTTATTCTATCTTTTATTCCTTCCTTAAAAATATGCTACTCTGCTCAGTATCTACTGTGCATCCAGTACAAAAGCTCAAAGGCCACTGTTAAAAGAGGAATTACAAGGATGCTCCCTTTCTTATGGATGAAGTAAGAAAAACAGGCTGATTATGATGGGGTGCCTTACTCTAATTGAATATCTGTAAAGGAAAGACTAAACTAGGTGCTACATCTAAAGACAGTCAGTGTGTATAGCCCAGATCATGATAAAGGCACTGGTTGTCAAAGTGGCTCACTATGCTCCATGTTACAGAGTAATCCTGTACATAGGATGCTGGTGGTTCAACTACACAAGACTTTGCACTCTGCCTTGGTACCATGGTTATGGTCCCTGGGGTCTAACCAGGGGGAGCAACAGTGCCACAAGAGCCATGGGACCTAGGAGGAAAACAGTAGTTGCTGAAGTCCGTAACTCAGCTTCCCTTTAGGATAAGACAAGCTATCCTGAAGTGTGGATTACGAACCCCTTGCATTAAAATCACCCAGCATGACACAGATCTTGGGTCCCCAGCCTAGACCTACAGAATAGGAATCTCGCAGGCAAGGCCCATGAATCTACATTTTTACACATTCCTGTATCATTTTTACCCATGTTAACATTTTAAAGTCAGTAGTCTAGATGAATGTTGTCCAGTATGGTAGCCACTAGCCTAAATTTAATTGATTTAAATTTAAATCAATTAAAATTAAATTTAAAAATTCATTTCCTTAGTCATACTGGCTACATTTCAAGTGTCTCATAATCTACCATATGTGGTGGGTTAGTAATTACCATATTGGAACAACACAGAATGTTTCAATCATTGCAGAAAATTCTATTAGCACTGGATTAGACTTTGGATTTGGGACAAAGATATAAACTTGTCCTTAAGTCTGCTGTGTGTGTTTGGGGGCTTGGGGCTGGGGATGTTCCAAAACGCAGTCTTTACGAAGGTGCTACACGTAATCTACAACCTAAATCTGTGTACCTGCACAGGGTGGAGGGGTTGCTATTTGGTCAGTGAGATTATGACACTGCAGATGAAAGAATGAGAAAGGTCGCTTACTCTAACCTGTTTTGGCAGAGTTGGTTTGGCCCAATCATAATGAACTAGACAGGTTCTCTTACCCAGATAGTTAGAAAGAGGAAAGTCTAGAAAAACTAACCTCATGATAACATATAGAGGTATTCTTTCCATCTTTGAAAAAACAGATTCAAAGAGTTATAAATGAAATAAATTCTACCTTTGCTCTTCGGGAAGAGCAATACTCTATCCAGTTGAGGTAAATCACACAGAAACTCTCCCTGGATATGCCTGCAAGTCGATGGTCATAGTCTTCATCAATGTTTGGATTAAACGTTGGGTCCACATCAACGTAATTTCGATCTGCACACAGACGTAGTCCTTCCTGCATCGTCTCATTAGCTAGCCACTCCTCCAGTTTAGAAGAGGTTGTAACATAATAAATGATACCCTAATGAGGAAAAGATAAAAAAAAACCAAAACCCAAAAACTCAGGCTAAATCACAATCTGAATTAACTGCAAGTCCTCAGTAAATTAATTCCAACTGTTTATACTAATAGTAGGAATCAAAAATGTATATTCCAGCTCAATACTGTAAGTATAATATTTTAAGAATGCTATAGTAATACACCTCAGGCCTTCCTGGATAAAAATAAGTTAATACTTTTAAAATCACAACCATAAATTCAAGAAGGCAACTTCAAAACAACTCCAGTCCACTGATTTTAGGATATTCTAAAAACAATTCTGTCTACTGAATTTAGGATCTTTTAAGAGAGATTAAAAATCTTTATTGTGGTGCACTTATTTTGAGAAATTTCTCACAGAAAGCTATTAAACCATCTTGTGATCCTAGGTCAAGTTATTAAAATACAACTAATAAATAAAGCAATAGAAATATACATCTTTAGAGACAGGAAATTCCACACACAAATGCACACATGTTAAAAAATGTTGTAGGGCTTCCCTGGTGGCACAGTGGTTGAGAGTCCGCCTGCCGATGCAGGGGACACGGGTTCATGCCCCGGTCCGGGAAGACCCCACATGCCACAGAGCGGCTGGACCCGTGAGCCATGTCGTGCCCCGGTTCAGGAAGACCCCACATGCCGCGGAGCGGCTGGGCCCGTGAGCCATGGCCACTGAGCCTGCGCATCGGAGCCTGTGCTCCGCAACGGGAGAGGCCACAACAGTGAGCGGCCCGTGTACCGCAAAAAAAAAAAAAAAAAAAAAAAAAGTTGTAAAGTCAATTTCTTTAGCTTCCTGAGGTTGGGTTTAACCAAACATTTAACAGAGGACTCAGGCTTCAACCCAATCAGCACAAACAAGGTGGTACATAGAGGTAATAACACATGAATCATTAAGATTTAGCATACGTTTTTCCTCTTGAAAATGTTGGCTTAGCCTGTAAACCCCCAGTCATAACCATGCTGTACTTCTGTAAAATCTTTAGCAAAAACAGAATACCTGTGCAGTAAAGAACTAATCTTGCCCAAAGAGAGGTTTGGCCTTTGCACCTGGGTTCTGGGAGGTAACCTCTAATCCCATATGCACTGTCCTGCCTGATAAGAGTCTTTATTTACCTGGAGGCTTAGAACCATGAGCTCTAGAGGATCTGGAGACTAAGGCTGGCCATGTGGGTGGTCAAACAAGTCTAAATGACTGTGTGTCAAGACAACCTCTGTACACTGAGGCTCAGGCGAGCTTCCTTGGCTGGCAACACTCTGTAGGTATCTCTCACATCGTTACTGGGAGAAATAAACATTGTCTACACAACTCCATTGGGAGAGGACAACTGGAAGTTCAGGCCTTAGTGTCTCTAGACCCTGCCCTATGTGTCTCTTCCCTTGGCAGATTTTAACCTGTATCCTTCCACTGTAATAAATTCTAACCATGAGTATAATGGCTTTGCTGAGTTCTGTGAGTCCTTCTAGCAAATTATTGAACCTGATTGTGGTTTCAGGGTCTTGGGAACCCTGAAATTGCAACTGGTGTCAAAGGTGAGGGTGTTTTTGGAGACCTCCCAAATCTTGCAATACTTTCATTCAGTTTGTTGAAAGCAGTGCAAAGCAGTGGTTAACAGCAAGGACTCAGGAATCAGACAAGCCTGTGTTTTAAATCCCCAACTCCACTTGCTAGTTAGAGGACTTCGGTGAAGTTAACTTTTGATCCTTAACTTGTTTGTATGTAAAACAGGGACGTAATATTCCTTTAGAGAATTAGGTAAGATATACACATCATATATACAAATGCGTGTATGTGTGTATTCCTTAATGCAGTGCCTAAAAGATATGCACTACAGATGGTAGCTATTAATATTAATGAACAAATGTAATAAGTTTCACTAAAGAAGGAAATAGCAAGACCTTCATAGGTATAATTTACTGACTGTACTGGATACTAGAGAATTTAAATCACTACTTAGAAGCAAAGCACAAGTTAAAAAAACAAACGTGCATGTGTGTGCGCATGTGTGCGTATACGTGTGTCTTTTCCAAGAGCCTCTGATACCAGATTTAAGTAGGCACATATCCTTACCTTGACATAGTAAGTGGTGAGTACTTTCCGAAGATCAAAGACTTGAAGCATAGAAGCAGCACTGTTGTCAGTGATGCTATAACCCTCCAAAATATACTTGGTGACTATCACTTCCCAAGCTAGCCAGCGCTGGCTAAATGCAGCATTAAATGAAAGCACATGAGGAATATGGCCAGGTTCACAACAGCAAAATCCTTCATCTTCCTCAACACCTTCAGTAATGGCCTCCACTTCCCGTTGTTGACAGTAAGTACCTTAGAGAGAGAGAGAAAGCACTTACGACAAAGGGGAAAGAAACATGAGGTGAAAAAAACATGAGGTGGAAAAATGAATGCTTCAAAGACATAAGAAACTTAGAAAAAAGACATTTTATTTATAGCAATTGAGAGTATGCGATTGATTTGCCTTAGACTGTCTATTAACAAACTGCAGCATGCTCCAGAAAACAGGCATAGTATATATTCATCATCTGCAGAATCATAATGTGTACTAGCACATTCAAGGTTCTGAGAATTTGTGCAATAAAGCAACCTTAATTTTGATTCATTGATTCCCAAATTTTTCAAATTTGGGTTTACAACTGCATTCATATCAAATGAAGACCAATAGAGTCAACGTGTGTCTCACGGAGGTCTGAGTTAACTCAAAACTGGAGGAGTGGAACGAAAACTGAATCATCCCAGGGCACACGATACAGACAGACATGCAGAACTCAAAAGAATCTGGGCTGTATTCTCACCAGCACTGTGTCCATGCTGCAAGCAGAAATAGTATATATACATCCTATTTACTTGGCTATACAACTTATAATGGTTCACTATAGTTTAATATTAAATATATAATTACAATTTTTCTCTGTTGCCAATTCCAACAATAAGTGGATAAGATTACATTATTGGCACTTGAGGCTTATCTGCTGATAAGGCTTATCTGCTAAGTTTCAATTAGGTACCAGGTCTGATTGTTCTGTACTAGCAAACAATTCTTTGAAATTACATTCTTTTATAGATGATACTTATCTAATAGGCATTCTCTGCGTTAGTGTTATTGAAATAAAAATAGAAAATCAGATTAAATATAGAATTAGATACACAGCCATCTATGCCAACAAAATACCATCCATCACATTCATGTTAATTTTTATTTCGTTCTGTGGTCTTGCTTCCATTTAATTTGTAAATTCCTTATAGGACTGTAGAGTGATTATAGCTAATTTTATAAAGGCACATATTAAAGTTACATTATAATAAAAGTAAGTGGGGCTTCATAATAATTATTTTCTTTTAAAGAGGATATATACAACATCCATATTTAAAACACCACTTTGAGAGAAAAAGATGCCATGAAATTTAGCCCCGGTTGGTGATGGTGGTGGTGGTGGTGATGGGGGTATGATGAACGATAAGACTGAGAGGTAAGCTTGGCCAAGCTAATGAGCTGTACTGTCGAGAACTCTAGAGCCTTCAACAATTTTATTATTTCATTTCTTGTTTAATTATGTCGATGAGCCCTTCCAAAATAGTGTTACATAGTGGTGAAAAAACTTTGTCTTGAACTTGACATAAACAGGAATGCATGCTGTGGCTGACCATTACACACGATACTGACTACAGATACACATATACACTTTTTTCAGAATAAGGATGTTATGTAATTTTATAAAGTACTTTTGAAACCAATAATGAAAATGAAATTTAACCAATTTGCTTTTAATAATTAATTTAAAGAATGAAAAACAGCTGAATTGGTGAGGGATACTTAAAAATAAAAGTACTAAAAAAAAAAAAAAAAAGTACTGCTGGTTTCTCCTTACTCTGGGCTCTGAGGATTTTTGTATCTATAGTCATAAACGAATTAAACTATAGTTACTTTTTTAGCCAGTCCAGTCATATTTTGACATCAGTATTACATTGGTTTTGTACAAGAGAGCCTTGCGATATTTTCCTTCCTTATCCATTTGCTAGAATAGATTAGAGAGGGCAGAAGAATTACTCAATTTCTAGAAGAAACTTTCTGAGGCTGGGTTTTTTAAACTGTGGCATGAAGTTGGGTCTATTCCTTAGGTTTTATATGTTTTTACTTTATTTCATTCATTTTGTCATCCTTCTGCAAAGTCAGTCAAAGGTTTTTAAAGTAAAGGAAATACCATAACGAGAGCTGTATTTTGTGCAGATGACTCTGGTAGTAGTATACAGAGAAGAGAACAGGCAGGAGTGAATTCAGAGGTTTGACATTTTCTCACGAGAGACAGAATGAGGTCCTTGTTCACAGTAGCAGAATAAACAGAGTAACTGAATTAATGTGGGGTGTTTTCACTCTGACATACAAACCCCAAGAATATTTTCTACCCCAACATACCCAGTAATACATTTTGCTTAGAAAATGAAGTCAACAATAAGCACAGGAATATTAATAACTGAAAAAAGAATTTTGAGATTTGGAAAGGGATTCTAGAGAAACCATTACTAATTGTTTCCTGGATTAGCTAGATCCTTCAGTCACTTCATGGTGAATATAACTGGTAAAAATTAATAAAACTAATAATTATGAAAAACAGACATGTTAAAATTAATTTGAGTAAAAAAGGAAAGGAATCCAAACAGAATAAAAATTTTTGACCTATAAAGTTTGACCTGAAAAACCATACTTGGTAGAAGTAACATTTAAAAATATATAGAAGTAACATTTACAAACTTGGTAGAAGCTGTAACCAGGAAATTCTGATAGACAAAAAACATGATTGATAACTCAAATATCTGACATAAAATTTACATGGAAAAGAATCTTGAGAATATCAGTAAAATGGAAATGAAAACTATGAAGGTATTTAACCAAGATCTATAAAAAAACTGATCAAGAAATTTTAGTTAAATGTCACTTAAAATTTAGCATCCACTATGAGAGGCAATAAAATCAAAGGAATTAAATTGGCTTAATGGAGTATACATCAGAAAACACATCAAAATGCTCAGCAGATCCAAATATCTGCCTGGCAAAATACTGCCTGACAACACTCTTAATTAATATTTTAAGGGGTAGGAGGTAGATGGAACAGGGACTACCACTGTGAAGGAAAGAAAATAACCAAAGATCACAACAGCATTTGAGCAAGAATATAATCATTCCTCATCAAAGTTCTGCAATGAAGAGGAAGGAGAAAAGACTATTACTTAGATTACTTAACGACCCTACAAAATGATCTTTATCATATGCTAGCTGCTGTGATAGCTGCTGGATATACAATGATAAATGAAGCAGATAGGACTCCTGCCCTTGAGGAGTTTATAATCTACAGCAAAGGTTTACAAAATACAGCCCTAGGCCAAATCCAAGCTAACAGTGGTTTTGATATTTTTAAAGGGTTGTTTAAAAGAAAAATCAAAGAAGAACATGCAACAGAGAATGTGTATGGCTCCAAAAGCCTGCGCTATTAACTATCTTGGCTCTTCACAGAAAATGTCTGCCAACCCCTGGGCTAGAGAAGAAATAAACTTTAAACAAATAAATAAATATAAAATTAGAACTCTGCTAAGTGCTAAGGAGGTAAAAACAGGGTAATATGAGAGAAAATCATGTGGGACAGGTGGTTAGAGACTAAGGCTTCTCTGAGAAAGTGACAGTTAAGCTAATTCTTAAAGATAATTAAGGAATTAGAGGTGGAAGATTGGCAGGAAGAGAGGAGACGTTTGGTACTTTCTGGGCAAAGGGAAGGGCGATAAGGAGGCCTTAGTAAACAATTTAGCCCAGCTAGGACACTGAAGGAAGGCCAGTGTGGCTGCAGTGGACGAGGAGGGTGCTACAAAGTAAAGTGGAGAAACTGACAGAGGCCAGATCTCACAGCTGTCCATAGGATGTGTTAAGGAATTTGAATTCTATTTTAAATGCAATGGAAAGCCACTGAAAATTTAAAGCATGGAATGGAAAGGACATAACTGAATTTGCCTTTAAAAAAAAAAAATCACGATGGCTGAATGAAGAGTTACAGGTATGGCCTGCTATTGAAATTCAGCATGAGTTCAGAAAGTAAGGGGGTACTGTGTTCTCAAACTGATTTGAGTTTTGTTTGACAAAGAGTGAGAGTTTGAATGGCAAAGGATTTATCCAAAATTTTACTTGAATCTATTTGGTACCAGAGAGTAAAGTGGGGAGAGTGAAAATTTGGATCAATTTTTGATTTGGACAATTTCTGATCAATACGGTGAAATGAGCAGATAAGAAGGACCCCCTTCCAATTCACACACATAGAAATTCTGGATAAAATAACCTCCCCACAAATACCTGTTAAAAAAGAAAGTTAAATTAAAATCAAAAAGCAAAGATGAAATCTTCAGGTGCCAACAATTTAAAAAGAAGGTGAAGTTACAGCAGTGGTATGTGTAGTGGTAAGGGGGTGCTGACTTTTGGATGAGGATAGATGGATTAGATTTGAACAGCACTGGGTTAAGACCCCAGAAGAGATGGAATTAAGGTCCTGGGCTTCTGACAGAGAGTCAGAAACAAACCATAAGACAAGAATAGGAGATTTTGAAGAAGAGAGAGCGAATGGGTTACAAATAAATAACAAACATTAACATTTACTACCTTGAGTTTTATACACGTAAAATCTTATTTCCAATGAATGGAGTAACTTTAGAAAAGCACTTGCTCCATTAACAAAGATATTGTGTAACAAAGGTGCAAACTTTCTGATTCAACACCAGGGTAAAAATAAAGCTATTTGTCTTTTTAGACAAATGCTTTCTTATTTCCTATTTCAGGTTAAAAACACCTAAGGTACTTCTTAGAATAGACCAAAACACTGCTTGGATGCTTTCTCTAAAAACTCTCAAGTCCAAATGTTGCCTAGATTGGAAACACATGCATTAATAGGACTCCTTCAATTCCTATAAGACAAGTTTCTATTCCTGCTTACAAGACACTCAACTTACAGAAGTGGATAACATCAAGCTGGTATGTTTCTGAATGCACGATTTTCTGTGTAGAAACAGCTTCATTTGTCAGTATACAAAATTGTTGAAGGCTGGTGGGGGAATAGGGAGTAACGGCTTAATGGATGTGAGGTTTTATTTTGGGGTGATGAAAATGCTTTCGAACTAGACAGAGGTGGTGGTTGCACAAGATCGTGAATGTACTAAATGCCACTAATCTGATCACTTTAAAATTGTTAATTTGATGTTATGTGAATTTCACCTCAATTTAAAAAAAATTGTTGAGGACAAAGGCATGGCAATTATACGAAAGTAACTTGGTTAGCTAATCTCTGCCTCACAGCATTCTATGCTGCCAGCCATCTAAGGAGCATGTGCAGCTGATCACAATAAAAGACTAGCAAGGGCTTCCCTGGTGGCGCAGTGCTTGAGAGTCCGCCTGCCGTTGCAGGAGACGTGGGTTCGTGCCCCGTTTCGGGAGGATCCCGCATGCCGCGGAGCGGCTGGGCCCGTGAGCCGTGGCCGCTGAGCCTGCGCGTCCGGAGCCTGTGCTCCGCAAATGGGAGAGGCCACAACAGTGAGAGGCCCGCATAACGCAAGA